ATGTACATATTATATGCATACACATTTTCGTTTTACTCCTTCACTTGTGCTGCAGGTTTACCCACATCCCGAAAGATGTCTTCAGGAGGACAGCTCATGAGCAGTAGATGCTCCTCACCCTGCGAGGTGACCTGTCCAGAGCCGTACGCCAACGCCTGGAGCCAGCCCTGTGTCACCTCCTGCGAGGACTCCCGTGCCGTGGTCTATCCCCCGCCCGTGGTCATCACCTTCCCAGGCCCCATCCTCAGCTCCTGCCCTCAGGAGAGCTTCGTGGGCACCTCGTTTCCATCACCCATTGGGGGCTTTTCTGGGGGAATGGGCTCTATTGAATCCGGGGGCTCATTTGGTGGTGGGGGTTCATATGGAGGAAGTGGCTCATTAGGGATGGGGGGCTCCTATGGAGGTGGAAGTTCCATGGGGATGGGGGGCTCCTATGGGGGTGGCAGTTCCATGGGGATGGGCGGCTCGTATGGAGGCAGAAGTTCCCTGGGGATGGGGGGCTCCTATGGAGGTGGCAGTTCCATGGGGATGGGGGGCTCCTACGGAGGTGGCAGTTCCATGGGGATGGGGGGCTCCTACGGAGGTGGCAGTTCCATGGGGATGGGGGGCTCCTACGGAGGTGGTAGTTCCCTAGGAATGGGGGGCTCCTACGGAGGGGGTAGTTCATTTGGCTCTGGGGGCTCCTACAGAGGAGGCAGATCATCTGGGAGCTCTTACAGAGGCAGAAGGTCCTTTGGCTCCAGCTCCTACGGTGGGGGCTTTGGGGGCTCCTACGGAGGAGGCAGCTCCTACGGTGGGGGCTCCTTCGGAGGTGGCCGGTGCTTTGGTGGGGGGAGCTCTCAGAGCGGCGGGGGCTACTCTGGTTACAGGAGGTTTGGCGGAGGAAGCTGTAGCTCCGGTTATTTCTGAAGGGGCAACGTCTGCCGCTCCAGCAGCCCTGGGCTGTGCCGCCCTCGCGGAGGAAGCTGCGACCCAGGGATGTCCAAGCCATCGACTTGGCTGGCACACGTGGAGCTGCGACGCTTCCCGAAGCCCTGGGAAACATCCTTTGTGCTCTGTGTGACTGTCTTCACCAAATGTACCCTGTGATTCTCTGCCATTAAAGCTATGCTGCATTCAAATTCAACCCTCTTTTTAAATTTTATTATTATTTTTTTTTTTTAACTTGTAACTCATGCATTCAAGTGATCTTTTGGATAATTCAACAAGAGCCCTGAGAAATCTGTGAGTGTCCTGGAGGAGAATTAGGCACCTTTATTAAATTCTAATGTTGTGTTTGATGTGGAGGAACACAAATTTTGCATTACATCCTTTAGTATTTGGTAGTAGTGTCACCTGGCACAGGATCAAATGGGTAAATCAGCTGATCCCTTCCTAGAAATACGACCTTGTGGCAGACATACTTCTCTTGAAAACAGGAACATATATTATCAGTTGCAATTAATTGAAACATAATCATTCTTTCCTGTGAAGGGTTTTAGATTTTTCTTGAAGAAACATTGAATTTTTAAATCTGTGTGCACACATGCCTTTCATCTCTCTCTTGACTTCTCTCAACAAGGTGACTCATCCTTATGAATCTGGTTGAACTACTCTGCTGACTGACTTGAAGCACATGGATGTGTCTGTGTTTGACCTAAATGTGGATAAAAGACAAAAATGGACATACTAAAATAACGAATATGATTTGCTGCTGTCTCTTCCTTGCCTCTGAAGGTCTGGAAAGGCAATGGAGAGAAAAGCAAAGCAAAAGCAATGAGTCTGCACAGACTTCACCCGCTTAGTGAAAGCAACAGTGGCAGGAAGATGAATCACAGATCTCTGCACAGATTTTAAGATCATGGGAAGAAACTCTTTCAATGCCAAAAGTAGACACACTAGCTAACTTGAAGCTAGGTTTACTGTGTTGTACTGTAGACACAATTTTCATGTCAACAACATAAATGTACAGTTTATTATGTAATTTTATAGCCTTCAATATTTGTTTTCTTAATTTAATCAGAAATCTTTCAATACATTTTTTTTTTTTTTTTTTTTTCACCTAGCATGTGCGCACATAGGTTTTCTTTCTCTATTTTTTGTGCTATTCTATAAATTAGAATGAAAACATGGAAGTGACACATTTTGAGACTGGGGGCTGATGCCACAGCATACCTTAAGTCACAACACATATTTTGTATACTTGTGCCTACAGTTTTTTTTGGCCAAGAGGGATATTCTGGACAATATGAACCAGAAAATATTACCCAGTACTTTCTCCGTATTTCATAATTTCTCTTTAAACTATCATACACCGTTTGACTGAAGATCCACTTTTGATTTAAATTCAGTAAGGAATCATTCATCTCTGCCAAATTATTCCAATAGTTAATTACAGTTATAATTAAATGCTTGCATGTTCTTCCCTCTCTAATTACAGTGTTTCCTAATCAGAGAAACCTCAACCCTGACTGTCCCCCCCCCACACCTTTACAGTTACTTGCATTTGTTCATTTCTTTAAGTCTCTTCTTGGTCTTATTTCACTTAAACTATCTAGCACATTTGACTTCTTTACTTTAGAGAGCCTCATAAGAAGGAATATAAAATGACTTAATTACTTCAAGGAGAAAGGCAATAAAATCCCCTTTATTCAGTGGAAAAACAGGAGATGAAGTCATCATCATATATTGCAACAAAGAAGAGTGAGATTAGTTTTAAGGAAAGAAAAAACAACTCACTTTGCAACTGTGGGAGCAGCCAGGTGCTGACAGATTTCCAAGTGAGACGATGGAATCCCAGTACTGGAGCACATTTAAGAACAGCTTAGACAAGTCTCTTCTAAGAATAATTCAGGGGAGTGTATAAGTTGGGCAACCTTACCAGTTCCCTTCCAAAATGATTTCCTATAATTCTGTTTTGTTTTGTTTTGTTTTATTTTTTGTTTGTTTGTTTGTTTGTTTTTCCCCAAATAATATATATTTCTATTTAAGTCCTTGGCATTGCTCAGTACCATTTTTGAGGAATGTTCACCTTCTCAAGTAATTCATATTAATTTAGTGTCCTTGTTCACGACAGCATTTGTTACTTCACCAATCTGAAGTCTGAAATCCTTTACCAACAGAGATTGTACAATTACTTTCTTAACGTTGTTTTTATACAAGTAAATAAATAAATACATGTAAGACATGTATATGGGAGTCGGGCTGCTCAAAAGCTCCCTCTGGAGCTGCTGTGGGTAAGTGAGCTCGTGGCCAGGAGGGTGAGGGCAGCTTTTCCTTCAGCCCTGCTCCTGCCATGGCACTTCGTGGGAAATGGCACTGAGTCAGAAACATAGAAAAGGATGAACATCTAAAGCTGGGAATGCCTCTTAGACAGCCAAATACAGGGCAAAAGCTACGGGAGGGTCCTTCCATGTGAGCTAAGTGTTAGCAAGAGTGTAAAAATTTCCTGGCAGGGTTGGCACTGCTGAAAGGAGCTGGAGATGAGTTCCAGTCACTGCACACTTTTCCAAAGCTGCCAGAGGTTGATGTCCTGGGATGTGCTTATAAGAACAGCACCCGACAGACATTGCTCAGATCTTCTCTCAGTGGAACATCTCAGCTCCCCTGCATAGCTCCAGAGCAGCGGGTAAGAGTTCAGTGTCTAGCTCTGGCTGGGGAGCAGTTCTGGTTGCCACCATCATCTTGGGACCTGCCAGGACAAACAAAATGTACATGCACACACTAACCAGTTTCTGGGTTAATTTCTCCTCCCTCATTTCCATACATATACAACATTTTTGTTTGTTATTGTTTCAACTTCTATGCTATCAATTATCTCTTGGAAGCAGAGTGATTTTGCAGGGTCCTCTAGGCAAGAACACTTACTGGAAACGTTCTGAGGAAATGCTTTCAGATAGTTTTGCAAACACCCACTAATGTTTTATATATGCAAAGTATTGTGGTGCTATGATGTTAATAACAGGCTGCCAGTATTAAACTCCACCATATTGAATCATAGCGTCACTTTAAAATATATGTGTCAGGGCCACCCACGTGATTCTCTGAATCAGGCAATGATAAACACCTTGGGAATTTGGATCCCTTTGTTTTTTTTTTTTTGTTTGTTTTGTTTTTTTTTTTTTTTTTTATTAAAAGCCAGCTTTGCATTTATTTTATATGTGTTTGCATATTTTAAATAGTAATCATACTATTTAAAACAAGTTGGCCAAATATTCACCTTTCCAAATCAGGGCATATTTGCTGATTCAAATAGTATTATATCACCTGAGGGGACTGGATCTGTGCTTCAAACATGGCATGAATTGCTGCTTCATCACAGCAGGTCAAGTTAGGCACAAATCAGTATGGTAACTCCTAGTGCTCTGTATCACTGAAGCACTCCTGAGCAATCTTAAATAAATCAGTTGCTCCTCTTTTCCCTGGCCCACCTGCAAGTTAAATGGGGAATGACCAGCTTTCCTTGCTTTCCCAGCGCATTGCTCACTTACCTTGGGTTTCCCGCAGCGCTCTTCTCCACACTCACAAGAATTTTTTTGATGTAGCTGTGACCATAACCACTGTGAAAGGGACTGGGGACAGAGTGATTTACTCCAAACCAGACTGAGCAATTCCTAGATCCCTCTCACCACCCCAGTTTAACCAAAATGAGCTTTCTCCACTTACGTTTCTTCCTGGGCTTGGCCAGGTGTAGTGCAGAGGAAACCTCTCACGCTAAACTGGGGCTACGGCTGCCATGTCAAGCCATGGTACTGTTTTATATTTTTGCCTTGGAAGAGACTTAAACATCAAATGAGGAGCCAGGCCACCACGGGCAATGCTGTGCTCTGCTAGGAGTGTCTCTCCAAGGCAATCCTGACACTACAGTCATGCAGTGACTACAGTCTCTGTAAACATGTCCTAACAAGCTTTAAGCTAGCAAGCACACTTACTACTAATACTAGGTTAGGCTCTTGTGCATTCTTGGAGGTCATGATGTTAAACAAGGAAAACAAACCCCTGTTTTCTAAGGAACTGCAAGGATGTGTCCCGCACAGCCTCTGACCGGCTGCAGCTCCCATGCAAACCTGAGTTCAGTCCTGCGGGCTGCCTTCACACTGCCAGGGCTGCAAGAACAGGTTTGATGCTTAAAACCATGAAATGAAAGGAATCCGGGGATGGGACTGTGGAAGTCACGTGCCAGTGAGAATAGGGTAATCAACACAAACAGTAAGCAAAACAATTACTGTAATTACATGTAAAATTTTGTTTGGGGAGTAATGGAACCTAATGCACAAATATGACGTTATTTTCTTGCATCAGCCTGGTGGTCCAGGAAGGTATATAAAACCACCCATGATTCAGAAACCTTCCAGCAGGTTGTCTTGGCTTCTCCTCGGTGAACTGAGTAAGTTGGATTCTGATATAACTTCTTCTTCCTAAAAAAAACCCAAAACAAACCAGAAGTATCATTTTTGAAATCTTTGCATTTACTTCAGGGATGAATTTTGGATTATAATTCTGCAATTCTGTACAATATTCAGGAGTTCTTTTTCATGAAAGTCATTTGCTAACTGTTCATTCTGCGACACTGATGGATTGAGGTTTAAAAATACATTTGAAGTCTAGATAATATTAAAGACATCTACTTCTATTACTTTATGGAAATGTAATCCATATAGCCTTTAGGTAGCCTTAAAATATCTTAGCCAGCAGTATGCATCTGGCAGTGTTGTCGTGACCTTGTGGCTTCCAATTTTTGTCTAATTTTGGACAGAGGTATGGTGTGTAAATATCGAGATCGGCTTTATAACTACTGAGATGGTGAGATAGTTGCAGTCACCTTTCGGACTGGAGCCAGCTATTAGGACACAACATCTCGGTGGCTGCAGCCCTACAGGGCTCCTGGTCTGACTTTGGAAATGCCCCAGCTGGGACCCTCTCAGGCACTCCCTGTCTGTCCGAACGGCCAGGGCTTTTCTAAATCATCTGTCAGTACAGCTACGCAGAAGATATGGGAACCCAGAAAATGTTTACTTAAAGCATATATTCCTTGGGAAGTTGCTTTGGGTGTTTTTGTTTTGTTTATGCAAAGCAGGGCTCTTATATAAAACATTCAACAGGCTGTGTAAAAATATAATATCCACTATAAATGGTTTGTTCTATATGTTATGTGTTTGGGTCTGTTTTTCAGCTATCCATTTTCTCTGGCTTGTTTCCTGCTGAGGTCAAGTCAGGAACATAGATTTAATAGATGTAGTAGAATGAAAGGGTGGGAACCTGAAGATAGTGTCGGGATTAGGGTTTAAGGTCAGGAGAAGTTTAGGTGAATAATGGGTATTTTGGCATTGTGTCTGAAACAACAAAAGAAAAAAAAAATAATCTGAGAAAAATTGAGTCAAACTGAGCCCCACCCAGGCTTTTCTAATCTGCAGATCAGTTAGACAAAAAATAAGTAATTATCTTGGCTGAAACCAAAATATTTCATTTAATCTGAAACAATAGATTAACAAATTCCCTCATTTGGTGCTTTGATTTGGAATTTGGATAAGTTCGAAATGACATCCTGAGATGTAGTTTTATGACATTTTCCAAATTACCTCCACACCCTTTCATTTATTTCAAAAGAAAAAAGAAAGTGTAGAATTCAGTCCAGGTTTGTGGACAGTCTTACTCCCTCTGAAATTTAAATTTAGGGGACCTGATTTGAGGTTTTTGCTGTGCTTCATATTTTTCCTTGTGATCTTGCAAAAGGCTCTTATTTGTTTAATTTTCCAAATGAGGTTGATATTAAATAGGCTTTATTAAAGCCACCTGTTACAAACTAGCTGCACAAAAAACATAGTACTTGGTATCCTTATGGGGCTGACTCCCTCATGGAGAACACAGGGTTTATATAACTCTTTCTGGCTTTTGTTTGCTTAGCCCAGAGAATATGTAAATTCAGTACAGTAAAACCTCTCGTGTGTTTTCCATTTCTGCAATGCTTGGTGTTATGTTACCCTAGTTTTACTGAACTCCACCTCTGGAGTCCAAATTACATAGAAGAAAGCAGATGCTATTTAAGCAGCAGCCCCAAAGAGGTTGTTTGGTGTCTGCAGGAAGGAATTGGGCTTTGAAAGGCCGCAGAGGAGAAGAGCAAAGCAAAGTAGAACAGGATGGGTATCAACCTGTCTACCGACTTGTGTCTCTTCAGGGCTCACCTTAGCTTAGCCCAAGTGTTGATCCTGTCCTACCAGCTCCTTTGGTTTTATATTTGCTCTTTCCCATACCTTGCAGGTCTACAATATAGCTAAAAGATGTCCTGCGAGAAAACTGTGTGCGCTGAGCCATGCGCTGCCCCGTGCGACGTGAAATGCCCCGAGCCCCGTGCCGCCGCCTGCAACGAGCCCTGTGTCATTGCCTGCCCAGACTCACGTGTGATTATATTCCCACCTCCTGTGGTCGTGACCTTGCCAGGACCCATCCTCACCACCTACCCCCAGGAAACTATTGTGGGCTCCACGGAGTCAGCCGCACTGGCTAGCTCCTTAGAGTCAGGTGTGGGGATTGCTTCAGCGAAGGGAGCTGAGTGCTTGGAACCCTGCGTCGATCGGTGTGCCCCGCAGTTAGTGACGAAGTGCGAGACCCAGTGTGTTCCCCAGTGTGCTCCTCAGTGTGCTTCTCAGTGTGTCACCCAGTGCGTTCCCCAGTGCACTGCCCAGTGCGCTCCCCAGTGCGCTCCCCAGTGCGTTCCCCAGTGTGCTCCCCAGTGTGTGCCGGAGTGCTCCTACACCTATTCCACCCGCTGGAAGCATCCTTGCCAGAGGGGCTTCTGTAAGAAGATCTAATCAACTTAAGAGAAAGAATAGTCACGGGAAAAGAACAAGCAAAGAAGTGAAAGAATATGGCATGTGATTTACAGACATGGCTACCGGAGAGGGAAGCACCCCTGAAAACTAGGAACCTACATTTATTCCTACGTAGTGCTTTAGCTTAGATTAATACTTTCTTTATTCTTGTGGCTTTGCATCTTACGTCTGTGCTTTTAACTTTCTCTACCCAGTTTGACCAAGGTTTTGAAACAAAGCACGCATAGGGATTTGAATGTCAGACTCAGAAAGAACAAGGGAAGTGAATATATTGATGAAATGTGTCACACTGGAACGGGTAATTGGTTTTAGCTTTTCTTGTCTTTAGAAATATGCTCTTTCTAGTCTGCATTATTCTTTCTGCAAATGTTTACTCCACTTTGCATTTACATTAAAATGCTGCTGCATCAAACCATTGGCCTTCTGAATCTCCTTTTTCCTCTGCTACTTATTTGCAATGCTCTTTTAGTGACACTCAGCCTTGTATAGAGGAGCAGAAGATGGCCTGGAGACTGTTCCCAGACCACTCAAAACTTGATGCCCAGGTAAAATTAAGGGTTTGGTTCTGCTCTGCAGGCCCCTGTGTGAAAATGGGATGGCAGTCGCATAATCCAGGTTGCAGCTGGAAACCAGGAGCAGAAGTCCTATTCATAGAGAAAGGTGGTTCTGCATTTTCTAGGTATACTTCTCTAGGTTATAGCAAAATGTGTATTTTTAGAGTGTCCTATTCTAACTCATAACCAGTCCTAAGACCTTATTTTCTATAAACAAACTGAACTGAGCCATATTCAAGATATTCTTCATATTTCTACATGTTTCTTACTTGATCCTGGTTGCGCTGGTCAAAGCCCCAGGTACCTACGTCTGCCTGGCTGGTGCCAGCAGTGGATCCCTCTAGGCAGACGCCGTTTAGGACATCATCAGGTGTGTCCTGCTCATGCCAAGAAATTTCAGATGCTGTTTTTATACTAAAGATGATGTTAATTTCATCCTTCCATAACGAATGACGTACATGTGTTTGCTTATTCAAGTCACGGTCTTTTGGTGCCTAGGAAATACCATGTCATTCTTGCAATTATACCCACCCAGAAATATGCCAAGACTTCCGCAGAACAAAGGGACTCAGGGTGCTTCACAAACATGCACTGATGTATTACACATGTAAAGTGGTATGTTAATATAATGTTAATAGTATATGGTATATTACTTGGGTTACATTTCCCAAGACTCTGTAATAACTGATTTGGAAAAAAAGGTCATGATTTCACACACGTTTATCTCCATATCTTCTCAGGATATTTTTTACTAGTAAACTGATGATTTTTACTATGAAGTTGCTTTTTCTTTTGTTTATGATACCTTCCATGTCAATGATCAAGCCATAGGGCTGTTTCCAATCAACCCAAGCTTAAGAGAGGGGCTCAAGAAATACATTTGGACCCCTCAGCCCAGTAGTTCCTGAAGTGCAAGTTCATTCTCCAGGTGACCACATTTTAAAACAAGTTGGGTTACTTTGACATTAAAAAAAAAAAAAACACAAAACCAAAACCAAAGTAGTTTTTATCCCCATATTGGGTAGAGTTTGGTAGTTCAAAGGGCTAAAAACCCAGCAGCCTAAGTGTTTCTATTAGGGAAACCACCCAGATAGCAACCCTGTCAAGCCCCAAGGTATCAGGCTAAAAAAACTTAATGCTGTGCATTCACAACTAGCGACATTGTCCCCTCAGCTCCCCACCACAAACCCAACTAATCCCAGAAGTTAAACAAAATGGATATTGGAGGATAGATGTAAACATGGGAAAAAAAGGAAAACCTGAGAAATAAACCATCTCTAGATAAACCGCCAAAGCCACCATTGCAAAGATCCTTGGCAACATCCAGGAACCCATCTTCCTGTGGCTTGGAGGGTCTGATGGGGCAATTAATAAATGTCTCTATCAAAGGATTTGGAGGTCCCTCTTTATTCCCAGCTCCCTTCCCAGCCTGGAGGGTTGTGCTCTGGGGCAAGCTGTTTTTTCCTGGGGGGACGGGGTGAGGTTGGTGGGGCTGTGGGACCCAGTTGGGTTGCAGGTCTGGTCACAGAGCTCCATGCTGGGGCTGCTGCCCTCCTGCGGAATCAGCTTGGACTGATTCAGTCCCTGATGCGAAGGCAACTCAGCAGGGACTGCAAATCCTACCTGCAAGTCTAGGTGTGTGCTCCAGGCAAGTCTAGGTACATGATCTTGGCCAGGGTCATCATGAACCAGCCATGAAAGTGATGAAGCTGATGACAATTTGTAATTTTCCATATGTCTTCCCTCTTAATTCCCCAATCTTCATTCGCCCTCTTCATTCTTCGTCAATGCCTGTTCATGAAAATCAGCCCAGTGATAAGACTGAGCCATTCCTTTCCCTTAATCTCTTTTTCTGTTTACATTGTGCGACAGCTCCAAGTCTGCTGTCTATCACTTTCCCAGCTGTTTTGTTTTTCATAACTTTTTGCCATCGCTAATATTTTATGGAAAGAGGTAGTTATTATGTCACTTCTTATAGAAAAGATAATTGATGCCCTAAAGCTAAATGACTTGCTTGGATTAGACTCACCTGTTGCTATCTTTTGAAACATCTAACATAAATTATAGTATTTCCTAAATACCACAGCTAAGTTTTAATGTTTGGCTGCCCTGATATAAATGAAATAACAGACAGTTTTGTCCTGGCAGCAAGAAAAAAACTAGATAAGGAAAGAAAAAAATATCATTGGGAGAACTGATTCACATTTATAGTTGAGGTTGGAACACTCAGTAAGTGGCAAACTTTCAAAACAGCTTATTAAATATGAAATGTTTGGAAAGTCTGGGCCATGTGGATCTGTGTGGGGCCCTACAAAAGCCCCATGGGGTGAACACATAAGTCGTCACCTTCCTGGCATTCCTCTTCAGGGTGACCTGGCCCTGAGCAATGCACTTGGTTACCCGTGCCTATGGTTATTCTTTAGGACAGCTATAATAAAATACAATACAAAGGCCAGTACTGTGAATGTATTAAAAAGATTGACAAGTATCAACAATTATTCCATTCTGAGCAAACAACATTTTCAAAGCAGTTAGGAATGTTTCACCACACATTTGGACAAGCACAGTGCTCACAATGCTGTATCCCTCATCAAGATTTAATCTTTGCACATGAATCAGCCCTACGAATCTTCAAGGCAATACTCATTAGTTTCAAAAACTTGAGTCAGTAAGACATGTTAATAAAGCAGAAGATATTATTTTGCAAAGGTAATGCATAAAAGGAAGATCCTCCTATGATGCAAGTTACTATTCCCTCCCTGTAACAATTTTATGCCAGCCTACAACAGCCAATTACCAGGCTCTAAAGTGGCATAAGAAATAGATGTATGCCAAACAAGAAAGCTAGAGAGACCTAACTTGAAAATATTCTTTCAAACATGCACATCTGGGGTTGAACACCATCCAAAATCGTATCTAACCACAACACGTCCCATACATGCAGGTCAAAACCTATTTATGGATGGAGGAAAGGGCATGGTGTAATTAATGTGGAGAAGCCAGGATGGTGACGAAGTTTGCAGCAGTGGTGGTTGCACTTCATCAGAAAAGGTCAGGATGAAGCTCTGTGCCCTGGAATTACTCATCAGTCCTCACCATAAAGAATATTTGTCTTTCTGCACTTAATCTGCTTATGTTTTTCTCTTTGTGGATCAGTTTGCTGCCAGTGTGTGAAGATGATCTCTAGATTATGGTGAGTCACTATGGAGATCCCTGGAGCAACAGCCTGGGAACATCTTGGGCTTGCTCAGAACAGGCATTTTGGGAGATGTTAACAATGATGGTTCTCTGACTTCAGTGATGTGTGGGGTTATTACTGTCCTGGTAATTGCTGGAGTAAAACACCCCAGTGTTGACTAATCATTCCTCTCTAAAACATAACACTGGTGATGTTTCCCCAAGGAGGTTATGACTGAAAGCCTTAGCATTGATGGTCATATTGTTAGTTAAACCAAAACTTTTTGATTTTTTTTGAGGGGCTTTTTTTCAACTCCATGGGCCAAGCCCCCACTGAGACACACAACTGAGACTGTGGCTGTGTCCAGGAGCCAGCACTGGAGGGGAAGAAGCTGCATTGCATGTAGCTGCTGCCCGGAGGATGCTCTGACATTGTACTTTGCTTTTGTCTAGCACTTGCAGGAGAGTTGTGCCAGGGTGTTTGCTGCTTTGACGCTGTGGTGGTCCTGAAGCTGGGCTAGGAAGCCCATTTAGCTCCCTGGGAATGGGATGAGGAATGGGAAAGAGCTGTGAGACAGTCAGAGGCTGAAGGCTCCCCATAATGACAGCTTGGAATCCGTCCCAGTGGTGACTCTATTCAGTTCTAATTGATGGGTGTTTAGAGGACAAAAAATTCTGGCTCTTAGGCTTTCTTTAGACATTTTTGATGCTGCACACAATTTCAACATCTAACCTGAGCTAAGGGTGTGTGCCAGGACACTCCTGGGGTCCTGAACCTGGGGCTGTGCACCAGTTCTGCCCATTCTGTCCTTTCCAAGGCATGCAGAGGGTCAGGGAGGGGTAGCTGGCTTGGTCTGATCTGGAAGGACAATGCATGTGTTCCCCATTAGAAAACCAACTTCAATTTCCCTCGGCTGCAGTCAGCAAACCATGATCAAAGCTACTAGAAACTCATCCCTAAAGTTGTGTTTTCATGCTATAAATTATTCATCTGTTATTGCTGCTGACTCATAAGTGCTAAAGACCAAACCACCGATCAGAGGAAGCAGGACTGTTGAAGGTAAATGTTAGTAAAGGCATTGCTAATGCTGTTAAAGTAATCTTTAAAAGGATTAGCATGGCCATTGTTTCTTAACAGCCACTGCAGTTCTTGCACCTATTAATTGTTAAATACAACTATTACTACTAGTTCTATAAATCTGTCTCCTGCAATTTTACATGCTATTATTTTATGTTTATATGCTAAATCCCTCAGGAAAGGCAATGTCTCATGGCCTGCATTTGTGCAGTATCTGTCCCTTTAGGGTGTCCAATATAATTGGAGCATCTAACAATTACTGGAATTAACAGGCTATGTAATAAGATAACGAGTCCATAAGTGCTAATTTGGAATTTTCTGCTGATTTCCCAGAAGGGTGTCAACCGTGTCAGAGTGGTCAGGAATTCACTCCTGTCCATTAGTTTTACTAACTTATAATTACAGCTCCTTGCTGCATGTTTCAGACTTGCAGAGGCTCAACTCTCCTTCCCTAAATAAACTTTTCTGTGCAAAGTGAGACAAAATGTAGGAGGGATTTGCTTTAGGCACCTAATTTAGGTCTAAGACAGCTAGCTAGACTCCCTCTGTAGTCCACAGAAAAGGAGGTTTTGGGACCTTCAATCTCTGTCTGCTCTCATGTGTTTTTGGAGGAATGTCCCTCTCTCTCCACTGCCTGCAATGGCCAGTTTTTAAACAGCTTGAAAGGGTTTAGGTCAATGTTTCACACAACCCTCAAAGCTTCTGCCCTTGCAAAGATCTCTGCTTGCTGTGGTGGTTAATTTGGTTACTTCTCTTAATTTCTCGGGTGATCACCATAGGAATGAGCCCAGGGCAGGAGGTGGTCAATTTAGGTACTTGTAATTGGTGATGTTAACACACTCCTGGCATGGCACGTGGTACCTCACTGTCCTCGTTTACTTTGGGGCTCATTGAAAGCAGCAACCCCATTAGATAAGGATAAAGAGTGATAACAAACCCGCAGTTGTCTTGATTTGCAAAAATGACAGATGCTCACAGAGGCTTTGGTTGTGATAACCATGGTTATGAAGGTCTTGGCAGAGACCTTCCGTTTTCAGCCACAGATTCTCCCATCTTCTTCTCCCAACCTTTGGATAAGGTCCATTGCCGTGGTGGCTGTGAGCTGCACTGCTGACCCTGACGGGTGGGATAACACAGCTTTCCGAGTTGGCATTTTGCCATTTGGTTTGGTAGGATGAAACAGAGTGCCTCGTGTGTAGGCTAGGCAGCAGAAACATGCCTTGCTGCAATTCATTCCTCCGTGTGCTTGTTTACACCCTTAACAATTTAAGCCATGTCCTTTATGACACAGATTATTCTTAAATTGTGTGGGATGGCTATGAGGAAGCTCTAGGCAACACTTATCTGGGTTGTTCTAATTTTTCCCACAGTATAAAGGACTTCAAAGCACCTCTGTGTGATTTAACATGTAGATACAGAGTTCTGCCGTAACAAAATTAATGACATGTTGTTGCAGTTTTAGGTCTTGACAATAAGTAATATTTTCACTTCAAAACATGATCGTATTATCCACCTAAGCAGACCCTGCATAGCTCTGCAGGTCAAGGTTATTTTCTTTGCCATAGAAAACAAATTTTTCTCTGTTATACTGAAACCAAAGTCTTAAATTTATGAACCTTCTGGTCTTTATACAGTGTCAATTTGCTCTGTCAATTCAAGAGATACATAAGAGGATTAACCTACATAAAATCTGGGTTTATGCTGTTTAAAAAGTTTGAAAACCAGCCTTGTAGTGTGCTAAATTAGACTCTCTTACTTAAACATATATAGTACAAATTGTGTAAGGCCTCCTTCTCCAGTGATAATTTTGCTTGTTGTTTCATTGTGTAAATAAGTTACTTGTCCGTAGAAATGGAGAGTCCACAGATTTATTTAGTCTCCAGCTCTGCTTCCAGCTGGAGGATTTGGATCTCTTCAACACATTGACCAAGGAATCCAAGCCAAACTTTTCAAAATCTAATGAGGAATTTTGCACACTTTCTTTGAAAAGAAACCTTTTGTGTTGTCAGCTACAAGCAGGGATCAGGAAGAAGCTCAGGTCAGTTGTCAGATGGCTATCACACCTTTAGGGGCTCTGAACTAACTAACCCTAAGAAAGATAATTACGGCAGTTGAAGGAATGATCCAAGCAACAACATCTGATTTGCAAGTAAATGAGATAATCACCAACAAACAGGTCTTCTAGCCTCCAGGCAGCTGGAGGAATTGTATAAAAGCACTTGCAGCTCAAGGCTGTTTACCTACATCCCCTAACTTTCCCTCTTCAGTGGATCAAGGAAGTCTGATCTGGCTTGTTCTTTTGACTGTCACATCTTTAGTTTTAATGTAAAGCTTTTTTACTCTCAGAATTGCTATAGCTGTCTGCTACAAGCATTTGTCTACCGAAAACAGGCTATTGTGGGCTTTGACAGATGCGGATTTGGGGAAGTAATGTGAGATTTAGAGACCTATGTCGGTTTTAGACACTTTCCATAGAGTACATGGGGATCTAAATTATCTGCTTTATTTTGTACAGTGTCTCTATAGAAATACTTTGATCCTGGAGATTATATTTTAGGACCGTTATTTAGCCAAATTCTCATCTAATCAAATGTTATTTTTTTCATATACAGCTATGGAAGTTTAAAGTTTTAACCCTTTTTCTCTTTTCATGCATACACAGATTCATGTCTCACGTGTGTGTTTAAGATCTGGGCAGGTGGAAACACATAGAAAGACACTGTTGTCAGGATAGGGCACAATTTTGTCCCAGAAAAATAACTCCATAATTGAGCAGTCCAGCACTGAATATTCTTTACTGAAAATTAAAAGAAAACAGAATATCTGTGAGAAAGCAGAACTCTAGACTGAGGAATCTCAAATAGCAGCTCTTATTTTCTTCCCATTTAGATTACTTTAGCTAAGAATTTTCATTGCCCTAAAGCTCCACCTTGTAGAAAATTTGCTATTTATTAGAAAAATATAACCAGCTCAATATATAAGTGTATTTTCCATTTTACACTTCAGGCTTTTGGCATATTCTGTTTAGACTACCCTGCCTATGCATTTACTGACTGTTCTGGGGATAGGCTGGATGTTCAGTTACAAAAAAATCTATGCACTGCAAGTATTGAGGTATATTCAATGCCCCTGAGGTTAAACAGTGTTCAGTTTAATGTGTCATAGGAATTTGTGTATTGTTTTGTGGCCTTCCACCAATTACAGTACAAGAGTAACAGAACCTCATTTGCCTTAGTATGTCTGCTTTAACATATTATAAAGGAGTTAAAATAGGACATATAACTCAAATTATACAGCTGTAATAAGGAAATCAGAAAATCTCATACATGCATGATTTAATATCACTAATTTTGTGGTATAAAGGGTCCTGAACTGTCTGTCTTTATTCCCAGTGTTATTGCAGCTGTCAGCTCTGCTTCTCATGCCCATTAAAAGCCATATTCTGTAACACTGACCTGGGGTTCATTCCACCTCAGTTTTCCACTTACCTTTGTTTTAATGAAGAGATTCTCTTCTTTCTGAGGTCACTTATTTCTCTTTCCAGATGGTACAATAAGTTTCCAGAAATCACCAAAAGGCAGTTTACTTCCAGTCGCAAGCACTCAGAAGAGTTTTGGCCTTTCAGTTTTAACAAAATGAGAAAGTTCTTAATAGCCAGAGAAAATCACACTACATACACACCCACAGCACACCGCTGCTTCTGCGCTGCTTGGGTCCAGCTCCACGCAGAAGCTGAAGCCAGGGCTTTCCCAGGACAGAAATGGAAATCTATTTCTAGTACTGGCGTTGGTAATTAGCAGAAGACTTTAAGCAACAAATACGCTTTTAAAATGCAATGAGGATACTGAGGGCAACTCCTTTCTCTTTTTAAGCCAGTGGGAGGATCAAGATAACCTCTGATCTACAAGACTAACATGATTGTTTAATCCCACCCCTTTCACCATGAATCCTTACAAAAGATTTCAGGGGTATCCACATCTTGTGGATAAGTGGTCGCCACACAACAACCAAGACACCTTATCCTTTGCTGTTGAGTAACACCCAGAGGAGCCTGGGTCTCAAATGAGGCATCATTTTAGCATCATTGTCCAATAGTTTTAAATTAAGGAGAAAATGAAACCAGAAGGCAAATGTTGTGATGCAATATAAACTTTACTTGAAACGGGACAAGGACTTCATAGCAACAGAACATAACAATCCAGAGAGTACAGAATACATTCGCAGGGTTTGCTGGAGATAGATGGGGTTGTCCTCTTTGGGGGCTGCAGTTTGTTAGATGATCTTCTGTCTTGCATTTTCACCATTTGAAAGCCAACTTTCGTGCTCACCTGTTTGTGGGGTTCTTTTATTTTTTTGTTTTTTTGGTTTTTTTTTTCTTTTAAATCCCAGGCAATGTAGAACAAGGTAGCTCCCACAGTCAAACTGTAGCAGGTAGCTCCCAGAAGCAAACTGTAGCTTTGAGAATTTTTTCCACTATACCACAAAAGCCATGAAACATCAGTCCATACGAAAGACTGGAATACACAGGATCTAACTTGCACTGATGTTTAGTCTTCTAAAAAACACTCTGATTTAAACTAAGACCTTTTCTATATTTCTCAAATAAACAGCCCCTTAAACGCAAAGTTGGTGTCTTGTTAGCAGATATCTAATCCAGCAGGAAGGAAAATAGAGTGTCTGGGCTTGTTTCTCAGGGTGGCTGAGTGTGCCCATCTCCTGAGGATGTCCTCTGCAGCCCGGTACACTGCCCCTCTGAAAGTCATGTTCCTCTGCTCATGCATGGACTGGGACTTTGCTCTGGCCCCTGCTGGGTCCAGCTCCCCCAGGGAATGCCTGCGGGGCTTAGCAGGGCCCGCAACTCCCACGACTGTAAGTCGTGTACCTGCGGGAATAAGAGGGGTAGGAGAACCTGCCACCCAGGTAGGCACCGGACCCGAAGGAGCTCTGGGCATCCAGGGAGCTCCCGTAGCCAAAGGAGCTGCCTATCTCCAGGGGGGCTGAGGTGCCCACGAAGCTCTCCTGAGGGCAGGAGCTGAGGATGGGGCCCGGGAAGACGATGGCCACGGGTGGGGGGTAGACCACGGCACGGGAATCCCCGCAGGAGGTGACACAAGGCTGGCTCCAGGCGTTGGCGTACGGCGCGGGGCAGCTCACGTCGCAGGGCGAGTAGCTGCCGTAGCTGCAGACCTGCCTGTAGGAAGACATCTTTGTGGCTGGGATAAACCTGAAAACACACGGGGTGAGGAGAGCACGGGTCAGGGGTGACACTGCAGGGGCATTCGCAAAGGGGAGCTCTCTAGTCAAACCATACAATATTCAGAAAGTTACCCTTCTATAGCTAAGTATATAATGTGATTGCAATTCATATGCAGCAGTAATGAAGTTTAGATAACCTGTTAGAAGTCAGCAAAGCCTCATTAAGGACAGATGAGGATTAACCTAACAATATTTATTTAACACTGTTCCTAAAACTATTGTCTTCTTTTGCAAAGCATTCCCAGGTACAAATGAAAACATTAAGCATTCTTTCTCTGAAACATGCAAGCATCTCTTGAAGCCCCATGCTCTCCATATAAATCCTCTACACCCCCAAGTCTGCCAAGCTGAAAGAAATTACAGAATATTTTTTTATGAAAGTAACATTCTTCCAATGATAGGCAAAGACATATTAACTGCTCAGACCTAAGTACATTAAAATTCTTATTAAAGTGGCTTTTAAACTCATAGAACAGATTTAACTGAAGTCAGACTTACTCAGTTCACCACCAAGGACAAGTCAAGAAGAGTAGTTTGAAGAGCTCTGTGCTCCAAGCACTTTTATACAGTTCCTCAGAGCAATTCCAGGGTCTGAGCCACGCTTTGGGCACGCAGTCCTTCCTAGTTACAAAACAAACTTTCCTGCATTTCTCACGTCAATGGGTGGAGGAATCTTTTCATATTGTTTGCTGTTAAGCAATTATTAGTTGAATGGTATCATATCCATGTTGCAGCCTACAGAAATCTTTCATCTCAAAATAGTGACAGTATTCACCCTTAGTTTCTTTCTACTCATTGCAGAAATTAACTTCCTTCTTCCACTTGTCCAAGCTTCAAAACACTTAGATCAATAGAACAAAGGATTGCTGATTTAACAAAATAGACTTTGGTTTTGTTGTGGGTTTTTTTTTTGTTGTTTTTTTTTTTTTTTTTTTTTTTTTTTTAATAATGTATTGATTTTTGTCAGGCTTGGTGTAAAGATTTTTAAACCTTTTAGTTGCAAAGGGAGATGAAACTTAGAGACCATCTTGGCAAGATACCTTTCTGCTCTCCTTATCCCCTCTCTCTTTTTCTTCAGTAGGTGGAAGAAAAAAAATTATCTATAGACCACAGTGCTCAGGTGCTTCAATTATGGTGATCATCCTGTTCACAGCTACAGAGAAGCAGCTCTGTGATATAAGGATCTTTCTGATGTTAGTAGTGAGTTTCTACAGCCTATTTGGAAGCGGTGATGGAGAGAGGGGAAACAGAATTTACATGCTGCAGAAACCTTCTTATTCCATTTCATTCCTGGTGAATATTATTATATATTGCCCTAGTTAAAATCAATACAAAAAAGGGCAAGGAAACTCTTGCTGAGAAATGCTAGGAAAGAATTAGCCTCATGTACAATTTACTCCAAAATGTACCACTTTTAACAACTCTTTTGTTCTGAAACATCATGTTGGACCCTTTCTGACAGTGGATCCTGGTCTAGCTATGTACAGGAATTTGCAATAAATAAATTTACAACTGGAAAATTGTATCCCCCTCCTCACTTGGTGTAACAGGCGACAGATGAAAGTGAGTGGTCAAATGCTGGGGTCCTCCTGCACATATGTATGAATTTGATGATCTTAAAGGATTTACGTGTCAAAAATATTGCTTACGGCATTTAGTAATTGGAGACCTGAATTAGATTACACATGATGATTCCCTCCTGACAATAAAACTCATTTAAGGAACCTTGTCCCTGCCCTACTGTGAGTTGTAATCTGCACTCCTGGGGATTTATCAGGCAAGCTGGAAACGCTGTTTTCTTTGCTATTTATTATAAACAGAGACAATACCCCGGTCTTGGTCCTGAATCTACTAGAGAAACTACAACATGGAAAACAGAAAATAACATCAAGTCTAGACCCAGGGCAAGGGAAAGATGTCCCAGTTAGGGCACAGTGGCCTGGAGCAGATTTCCAGCGTAACACCTTTGCCAAGAATGTGGGGAGAGGCTTTTAGATGCCCTCATTGTCCTGTGTGCATCGGGGCGAGGACAACCCGCCCTCTGCACTCAGTGCAGGAGGCTCTCTCTAATGGGGATGGACAGTAATCCTTCCTTTCACCATACCTAAAACTAGTTGGTTTCGTTTATTGGTTCCTGACAGCAATGACTGTCTGAGTTCTCTATTTTCATGGTATCTGGGCGCCAACCTCATTTACATAAGCTAAGAGATAATAGAATTATAATTACAAATAATAACACTAACAAGTACAAGACATGCCCAAGATCTCCTCCCAGAGGCTCATTTAATTGCCAAGAGGTGTTTGGTAAATTATTTGGCCTCTGTCTTAATCATCTCTTCTAGAAATCATCAGTAGTCATTTCCCATTTCATGTGGGTGTTACACAGGCTTGCACAGAACAGTATTTTATATGCTGAGAAAAATGCTTAATATAGCACAAAACTTCAAAAAGGAAAGGTTAATCAGATGGAAATTTAGCCGTGGTGTGTACCCCAAAGTATGCAGTGATCCAGGAGATCAATTTAAATGAAATGAGTTTCATGGGCAAAACCCCAGATGCCCAGGATCTGTCAGACCTGGAAGGCTGTAGTGTGGAGTCCTCACACTGGACTCTCCAACTCTTGCAACACATTCTCTTTGGTCCTGTGAAACACCTCTGGAATTAAATCCTTAAAAAGCTAGATGGGTGATAGTCAAAGTTGTCGATGCAACACTAATGGTCATCTGAGTTTGGGTGTACTCTCAAAGGGATGGTGGAAGAACAAGGATGGTGGAGGATGTCTTTAATCTGGATATCTACAACTTCTTTCTTTCTGTGTTTACAAGGCCGATAGCACCCTATGGAAATGACTGTGAAGAGTCATCATCTGTGAGTCTTTAAGATGCACACCGTACATGTAATATACACCCCTGCTGCCATCACACTTGAAGATCTGAGGAAGACACAGGGCCAAGTTGCAGTTCCTGCTGCCAGAGTGAGCATGGTGGAGTGACAGAACAGTGGAGTATGGAAAACAATAAACTTGTGGTTTTGGTTTTTTTTTTTTTTGTTTTTGTTTTTGTTTTTGTTTTTCTGGTTTCTAGCACTTGTGGACTCAGCATGTCTATGAGGGCAGGTCTACACCAGACGGAGGTCTGAGCTAGGAATGACCAGTTGCTCTTGTAGAAGGAAAGCAATGACCAGATGGTGCCTGACCTGTGCTAATTACTTCTTTTCCAAACCAGGTACTTCTGAATCACGATGTTTTTTTCTTCATCCTCACCCAGTAGTCTTGTTCCACCTCAGACTTTGGAAATGCTCTTGGTCTATGGAGCCCTTTTTAACTCCCTCCCTGGAAATCACATTTGCTTTGTGTCATACAACACCCAAATGAATGAGGTAATTTTTATTGTTGATTTCTTGATGGGATTATTAAGAGACTGAGGCTAAATAATGCACTCATCCCCGCTTGTTGATTCGGTGGGAAAGCTGGGAGGAGCACTCAGCGCACCAAGTCCTCATTCTTTTATCTCCTGCACTGTGACACTGAGTCAAGGACCACTATTTGGAGAACTGTAAGAAACAAAATAGGAAATTGTCCATTTCCAAGGCACTGACAATCTAAATTCACATCCCCAAGACATAATGGAAAGAAAAATTCCTGTCTACACAACACAGAAGAAAAGATCATTTACAGGAAATTAGGACTGTGGAATCAGTACCCTTGAACATAACAGACTTTCTGGCATGTCTGAGTCCATAAAAATAATGAGAGGGACATGGTGGCCAACACAGGTTGCTGAGATTTAATCATATTATTTCTGCACTTCTGTTTCCAAATATGGTAATCAATGCAGGTTGGTGTATGAAATCTCTAGGATTAGTAAAAGGTATTCCTTAAATCAAGGCTGATCATCACAACAATGCTTCTGCCTTGGTTCTAAGCCCAGTTACATTAGCTTAGAGCTGGATATTAATTTCTGTGTTTTATATGTAAAAGTTAGGACCTGTCATTAAGTAAGGCACAATCTAGTACCCTGTTTTGCAGTGCTCAGTTCTGGGTATCGCAAAAGTATTTTCTATGATGGCAATTTGTAGTTAACAGTCCAATGATGAAGATGGACTTTGAATTTAAAAAGAAGCATTTACAATTACTGCTTCCAAAACTCAAATTTTCTTTCTCTAATGAGTCGTGAGAAAAAGCAAAAAAAAAAAAAAACAGAAATAGTAATAGAAGGATCAAGCAGACTGCTGTAGCTTTGGACAAAGGTCTGAGACCTCAATCTCCAGCTCTGATTTAGTATTTATAACACTGTGAAAAGCAAGCAAACACCAATATATGGCCAAATCATATAGAGATATTGGTTAAGTTATAAAATAGCAACATAATTTGAAAAATTAATTTGCAAATTCATACCAAAGTATTGATCTCCCTCTGTTCCCAATAAAGTCAACAGTTCTAAAAAAGATGGAAGTCATCCCCCTTATTTGATATGCAAGAAGTCTAGGGGCTATGATGTAGATGTAAAACCATGTGAGGAGGAGTTGCTTAGTTAGGAGAAACAATATGCACAACAATTACCTTGATTGAGTGACACATGTAAAAAAGTGTATTTGAGGGACAATGAGTACAAATGAGGACAAGAATGGTTCACTTCCCCCGGGGCAAACTGAGAAACTGTATAAAAGCACCTGGAGCCCAGAGTCTTCAAACCAATTCTCTTGAGTCTCGTTTCTCTGCTGTTGGACCAAGTAAGTCATGTTCTGTGTGGGGCAGGGGAGGGTTTGCGTTAATGTGTCGGTTCAATTTACTTCTAAGAGATTTAGACAGTGAGTGTGGTAAGAACTATTTCAAGACGTGAACCAGAACAATAGGAAATAGAGTAAATAGTCTAAAATGCATTTTGTCTCGCTCACCTTTAATTCTAAACAGATTTACCTGTGGCACTTGTCTTCTGAATGTATTCTTTCACTGTCACTGGTTTGACTAACCGAGAGCTCCCCTTTGCGAATGCCCCTGCAGTGTCACCCCTGACCCGTGCTCTCCTCACCCCGTGTGTTTTCAGGTTTATCCCAGCCACAAAGATGTCTTCCTACAGGCAGGTCTGCAGCTACGGCAGCTACTCGCCCTGCGACGTGAGCTGCCCCGCGCCGTACGCCAACGCCTGGAGCCAGCCTTGTGTCACCTCCTGCGGGGATTCCCGTGCCGTGGTCTACCCCCCACCCGTGGCCATCGTCTTCCCGGGCCCCATCCTCAGCTCCTGCCCTCAGGAGAGCTTCGTGGGCACCTCAGCCCCCCTGGAGATAGGCAGCTCCTTTGGCTACGGGAGCTCCCTGGATGCCCAGAGCTCCTTCGGGTCCGGTGCCTACCTGGGTGGCAGGTTCTCCTACCCCTCCTATTCCCGCAGCTGTGGGACATACCGCCCTGCTAAGCCCTGCAAGGTTTCCCCCTATGACAAGACCCAGCAGAAACAAGACCAAATTCGCAACCTGTGAGTGAGGGGAGGCGCGTGGCTTTCAGAGGGGCTGCGAGAGTCTTCAGGAGCTGGACACATTCATCTATCCTGAGAAGCAAGCCCAGACACTATCCTTCCCGTTTGTATTAGATCTCTGCTCACAACATTCTGAATCTGTGCTTAACCCCTTTTTTCGTGGCTTTTGTGTAAATTTAACTTAATTCCTCTGTATTGTTCCCTGCAGTATTGCTGTAGTCTGATAAATCCCATTTTCCAGTTCCAATAAAATCCTTTCAGCATCACAATATCCTGTTTTCTGCTTTTATTTGTACGGTTTAGAAATCTACAGCCCACTGATGCTAAAATAATCCTCAATGACCAGTCTCTTGCATTAAGGCACTGAGAGGAAATCCCAGCCTTGATACAGAGACTAATTGTTTCATAGCCACGGATGTTGAACAAGTAACTATGTTTTTTGCTGTGCTTGATAACCTCGGGATCCAAAAGAAAACCTGATGCAGGCACATGCATGATGAAGACTACCTTTGCCCCCTATTTCCTGAATTCTGATGGGATAAATGTATCTGTCACTGCGAGCACAGTGAGCCTCCAACCTCACAAGCAAGTGAAGCGCCTGTGGAGTTCTTCCTTAACCCTCCTGGAAACAATTACATCCAGGCCACCATACCATTTCTCCCAGCACATCCCAGGACATGGGAAAGAAAAGGAAATGAGGGTCAGGCACAGCTACTAAAAAAAACAGGGACAAGGGGAGGCTGTAAGGTATGGGCATACTTCAGGATTCAGTGTACAGCAAAAGGATCTCTATTCACTCCTTGCCACAACCAGCTCAGAGGAATTTCCCCTGAACAGAGAAATAAAACCATCCTGAGATGCTAAGCCTAACTTCTTTCTCTCTCAGAATGACAGTCAGGATCTGTGTTGGTTTGTCTTTGTGTAGTCCTTCAAATGCTAAGTTTTCCATGTGCTGAAGTGCATGAACTCCTGGCATAGCTGGGCTTAACTAAGCACATTGCTGCCGTACTTATCAGCCAAGACAGAATTGCAAGCTGCAGCGGGCTGCAGCATTGTTTTAAGGGATCAACACACAATATGGCCTTGGGGACCCAAGACAGAAATGCCACATAGCACACTGCACCGATCATGGATACAGCAGAAGAATTCCAGCATTTTCTCAAATGTCTCAGACTGAGTTTTGTCAGACCTATTGTTCCCTCTACACCTTTTCCCATGGGTGCTGTTTGCCCACCTCCTAAACGTCCTGGAGTACACAGGTCCAAACACACCCAGGGTGCTATCCTGGGGCATACGTGCCTTTATGATGGGTAGCAAACCACAGGCAAGTGGGATGCACATCTGTCTGTCTTTTGGACACCAGCCACTTAGCAAATCCCCCTGGGAAGTTCTCTGAGCATGGCTGGGCTGGGACCTCGCCCTGCACAAAGCCAGCCGCGGGGCGGGTGCAGGTGTGGCTTCCCCCGGCCCAAGACTACGTGGTTAGGAATGCAGCTCTCCCTTTAAAAGACAGCATTTTCACAACACCCCTGCGATCTAAGTGGTTGTTACAGGAAAGGCAATTGAGACATCAGGGCAAAGTGTTTGTCTTCACATCAGTTTCTGATTCAGAGGAAGAGCTGGGAAGGAAAATACAGGTGTGCCTATTCCTGCCATCATTACAGTTAGAATTGGGGTGGGTTTTACTTTCAGCAGCAGGTCCTGCCCTCCCAGGTCAGAGGAAAGGCACAAAACCTGTCTCCATCTGGAAGAAATAAAATAAACGTGAAAGGAAAAATAGTGTGTCGTATAATTTTACAGTAGGGTCACAAAGGGCAAGGAAGAAGCTACTGATGCAGCCAAGCATTGTATGCACCAGGCCTCCCTCATGGGAGATGATCTATCACCATTAAGTCCACAAGGATCACTTGAGAGCAAGAAATCCTCTCAGGAGGAAGCCAAAAGTAAGAAAAGAGCAAAGCAGACCATTCAAAATCCCAGCAGTCTGAGCCTCCATCACTTTCCTGCCTCATACTAACTATATTTTTGTTTTGTTCTTCGTTGTTTATTTTTCTACCCCGAATTTCCTGCAAATATTTTGATGAAATCAGTGAAAGGGAAAACACACTGGGATTAAGAAAAATAAACAGATAACATGGGATATTTGTGCAGGGATGTCTCTTTCTCTCCTCCCAGTCTAGAAAACCACAGCTCAGTAGAGGGCAGGGGTAGGACTGTGGCTACGGGTTCCTCGCTTAGATTGACTCAGTGCAGCTGAACCACTCTGGTTCACACTTTGAAGACTTAAATCATATTTCCTGCTGTGTAATCCTTAGCCATCTTTCCATGAAACCTCTGGAGAAATAGTGCTTAGGTGCGCATTTTTATACCATTTTCCTTGTTCATCTCTCAGTGTCAGCTAAAGATCTGCAAGTGGAGCTGTAACAGGTCTATGGCAGGGGTCAGACATCTCATCTCTGATGTCTCTGACATTTTATTTTTAGCCCAGAAAGACCCTAAATCTTTACAAACTGCCTATGCCCACCTGACACCCCTGAACTGCCTCTGATTCCTCTTACCAGAATATGGATTTTAAGTAAAAAGTTAAACAAAAAGTGTGGTGATACTACACTTCAAAATGGCCATACAGAAACCTTTCCTTCTTTACACATGTAGAAAATTCAGGGCTGGCGTGAGTTGTCAGTTGACTGGTAAAGCCTGCTGAGGATACTCACAGCTTTATACAAAAGCTGAACATTCAAATCTAAGGTCACTTCTAGCAAAATACTTTCAGATTTGGGAATTATGAAACTATTCAAAGATTATGCATAAAGATTAACCCACATGAAAATAAGAGGAATGGGGTACCCTAAGCAATCTTCTGCTGTCATAGAATTGTCTGCCTAAATTTATAAACAAGTTTTGACAGACTGTTTCAAGTTGAAGAGGTAGAAAAGGCTTCCCTGGAGACAGATTCATGTCAAACTCTTAAAAGAATCATGGTTTTAGCAGCATATACAGTTAGCAATTAAAGCCACTCTTCTATCTACATTTCAATACTTGGGAAACTATTGAATAAATTTAATCTTAGCCAAATTAGCTGGGATCAAATAACAGGAGGATTGTCCAGAAAAATTTTGACAGTTGAGCACTATTTCTCACTTTCTTAAACTCTGTGTATACAAAACAACCTTGCTCATGAGGACCTGCTTCTTTAACAACTGATATTTGTTTGCATATTCAGCTCATCTGGGTAATGCAAAAAATTTTCTGACTTATCCTAATGACTACAGCATTCCCTGCTTCATCATGTTGTTACACAATGCCACATCTCATGGTTCATTTCCTTTCAAAACTTCAATGACCAGGTCCTTCCTGGTATCAATCCCCTCCCTTTGTTGGGTCTGGATGGGAGTAAATCAAACTTCTTTTTTGTGAGTTTTTTTTTTTTTTGTTTTGTTTTGTTTTTTTAACTTTTACATCTTAACTAGTATTAGGCACCTGGATTCATGGTCCGTGATGCCACAAAAATGTCCAGTGGAATTTATTGCTGTAATTCATTACTTGCTGAGAGTCTGAGCTGAATCCTTTGTGTCCCCCCAGATAACTGACCATTGTCAAAATGACTGATTGATGTGTTGATCAAGGAGTTGAGCCCTGATGATCATCAGGTCACTGCTACTTGGAGTCTTGTCCTCAAGAATCCTGTTAGAGGGCAATGCTAATAAACAAAAAAAGATGGAGTTTCCCCTCTCCATATATGTCTCCTGTCCTGTATGAGTTACCGGGAAAGTTGAGGGCTAAAACATTTATTCATTTCTCAGGACCACCGAGAAGCTTCTTAAAGACATCTAGAATGAGCATTGATTTTTCTGACTCAATTTGAGATATCTTGCACAAATGCTAATTCCTTCCTGTGCCACTGACTTCTGAGAACAAGGCTGCCTGTGGCCAAAAATACAGTTCTGAAAATATTAATATTGAGTCTAGAAGATATACAAAGTTACCAAGTTGGAGTGTTTCAGGGAAACATTGTTGAAATCTTTACAGAGAGCATAATATAAACTGAGACTAGCAAAATTCAGTGGGGTCACACTCAATTGGAGCAGATGAGGGTCTTGCACCTAAGTCTGGAAATACATTTGCCCCAGAGTACACATAGAGCTAACTGTAAAACAAAGATGCGGAAAAAAAAAAAAATTAAGGAGGAGAATAAAGAGCAGCTCTTAGCAGAGTCTGAGTGATGCCTCTCTTTGGACCATAAATTACCCTTTTCTCTGGCTGCTGGGGTGACAAGATCTGTACAAGAAATATATACAGTCCTGGAATGCAATTTAAAGTCAGCAGCATTTCTACTATGCATTAACTAAAAGCTCATTTTCTGCTGTACAGTGAATTGCTTAGATTTGCTGGCTGGTCAGTGCCAGAGCATCAGACCCTGACTGAGGAGTTAAGTGGGGGAAGTGAAGCAGGAAAAATAAGTAGACTTGCACCCTAGAGCTTCAAGGTTAACATTTACAGCCTGTACCCCATCTCTAAGTGGACTTTAAAGTACAAAAGATAGAAAAATAATACACTTGTCAATCAGATGGTTTTAACTTAACTAAACTACCTCTCATTACTGCAGAAGGATAAAGCCTGAGGATTGTTTCACAGAAGCTGAAATCTGATAAATCTGAACGTGATCAAAAAATTTAGAGGGATGATGTAGTAAGGTGTAAAGGAAACCTGGGAATTGCCTAATAACTGCAAACAATGAGCAAAATGATTATATGCTGTGAGACCTTACGTGTAATCGCTTCTGTTTTGAATCTAATCAAACATCAGGTGCAAAGGGTGTCTCAGCTCCTCCAGGCTATCCGAGCAGCAGTATAAAAGCATGTGCTGCTCACATCTCTCCCAACAGCTTCTCCTGACTTCTCCTCTGGGACTTGAGTAAGTTTTTAATTCTTTATACCTTTTTGCTATGCTCTTTTAATGATAACTCTAATTGAACCCAACATAAGTGTCTGCTATGACAGCCGTGGGCAGCCTCTCAGTACAAGCAACTCACTGATCTTGCAAAGAGATTGGGGCTGACATTATCCAGCTTCTCGAGGGTCCAGCTTCTGCACTCTTTGCTAAGTGCTTCAAGGATTCTTGATTTTTAGTTCCTAAAGCTAGTATAGAAATGAACTGCAACTGAAGCAAGCTTATGATGTAGCTCTTTGGGATACGTTCTGGCACATTATGTGTAGACATGTCAAAAATGTAGTTTGGTTGATGTCCATAGGAAGGTTAGG